ACTATAGTTTTAATTATGCTCAATCACTGAGATTGTAACTTGCTCAGAAGCATCTTTTGGTCTTAACTGCCAAAGAATTGCAAACCCCATTCACATCAAACTTCATGCTCCAGATAGGGGAAAAAGAGATTTATGTATACCAGCATCTGTACAGTTACAGAGATGTAGATGGTTGTGTACTGGAATGTTTCTTGATGCTTTTTTTTTTTCCCTTTTTTAACCTCAGGAATTAAAAAAATAAAATTCTGTATCATTGAGAATGTGTGTCCCTTTTCTGCCTCGTAGAGACAGCTTTGTCTGGAAGATAAATCAGATGATTGTATGATCTACTTCTAAGCAGCAAAAAATACTAGAAAAGAAGGAAAATAGAAAATAGTTTGTCATGCTGGTGAACGAAGGCCACATCTGCACAGTACAACAGAGCAACAGCGGAGATCCTTAAATAAGTACTAAGTGAGCCAAGCTAGAGGAAATATCACTGTGTCCCGGTGGCTCGGAGCAGCCAGACCTCCCCCAGCAAGGGCACAAGCCCGTGGCTGAGAAACACCTTCATCCGCCTTTGCTTCCCCTCGGAGGTAAAACCAAAGCCGCCCCAAGGACAGCGATTGCACTCACTGTCGTCCACGACACCGAGCAGCGCTGTCCTTCAGCTTGGGGCTCCCATCTGGTTTTCTCCAGGTCCCGGCCCTGTCTGTACGCCCGGGGTTTCGCTGCGTGGCTGTGGCGGGGAAAGAAGCGCCGTGTGAGTCGCAGGCACTCTTCACGTGTTGCCTCTGCCTTTGCACCTCTGTTCCCAGCCCCGGGGCACATGGTAAATGCATAGGCTTGTCTGAGCTGCTGGGGCCATCTGAATGGGGTCATGAGGACAACAGGCCCCATCACAGCCAGTCATCGCTTCTTTTATTTTTTTTTTCTGTTTCCTCACAGGAGTTTCCTGCTGGGGTGGAGGCTGCGACGCTTCCTGTCCCCGCACCCCAGCAGCAGCAGCACCGCGCTCAGAGGCTTCTTGCCGGGACAGAGTCTCCAGCGAAGCCTAAACTGGAGTACAAGGGACGTGCAAAGACTGAGTTTTACATATACCCCATACACAGTGACCGTCCCTTGCAGGACAACAGCTCTGCAGGGGAGGCTGTAGCTGTTGAAAGCCTTTGTGTACATCTCCAGTAATCCATGTTTAGCCGTACTGGTCAATACCTCCTCCCTTCTTCGGTGCCAGAAGCAAGGCTCTCCCAGCCCTCGTGCTGCCTTACGTAGGGTCTTAACCTACCTCTTTCTTGTCCTGTGCCGCAAATATTGGCTTTGGCACACCCAGTAGGACGTTCTGCTGTGGGGACCACGTGAAGTTGCCACGAGACAGCGGTATCCTCTCCGTTAGTCCTTGAAATGTCACAGGGACACTCTGAAGTCCAAATATAAGGTTTCAAAACACATAGGGCCCACGAGGCTTGGAAAAAACAGGCAGCACTTGGGGGTGCTGGGACTGTGGTGTCTGGTTGGTTAAATGATCCAGATCATACTTGGAAATGGTGGGTTTGCACAGACCGAACTCAGATCAATGGTTCTGGTTTGGGAATGACTACACCTGGGCTGCTTTATCTACCGTCACTTCAGTGATGCTTGCAGTGTTAGTCACCATTTTCTCACACCTTTCTGTTGTTTTTCCGCTCTCTGGAAGAGGTGCTTCTATAAAGCACATCTGTTTTAGGCAGGAGCAGGCACCAGTTAGGTGGGTTTCCATGCAGAGAGTGAAAGTTTTCATCGGCTCTTTCAACTTCCTCTCCTTGTACCACAAGCAGGCTGGTGCCACGCTACGTGACTGCCTGCACCGCGGTCGCAGCTACCACCGAGACCTTCACCATCGCGAATCGACGACAACTGAAGCTACTGCTGTGGCCGTCCCCGCTACGGCACAGCTCCCAGCCTTTGCATAGTTTGGGGGTGTTAGGCCAGCAGGCAGGTCTGTCCCAGTTCTCGCCTGGGTGAAATCTGGGCTGCTGGCACACTTCTGGCTCTCAGAAGTCTCAGGTGGGGACTAGGAGTTGAAGGGTCTCGGGGTGACGATGCAACGCCCAGGGCAGAGACAAGCTGAGCTGCTCCTTCAAAGAGAAGGGACAGCAGAGGAGACTGCAACCCAAAACTGGGAACATCTGGGAAAAAAATGGCCTTAAAGAGAGGGGATGGGAGCCATGTAAGATCTCAGGTCTCTCCCAGGGCTTCCAACAACTGCTTGGTGACCGTCCTGCTGGAGCTGTGGGTAAGGCGTAGGCAGCGTCCTACGGGAGGCATGAGGCAGGGGAGGCAATACTCCTCGCCTTCAGGGGAACCTCCCCTCCCAGCAGGGAGCATCAGCTGAAGGCTGGGGACAACCTAGGGAGGCACAAGAGGGATTTTGGTGGGATAAATCCGACTAAAACCTCAAGGCAGATGGGCAGAGGAGCCCTGGGAGGGATTGGCCACAAGGAGCTGGGCTGCTGGCAGGCAGAGGCCGCCGGCAGATGGAAGAGGGGGCAATGGCAGCAAACACCCCCATGACTGGGTCCCTGCTGCGTGGTGGCCAGCAACAAGGGACCCCGCTGGGGATGAGGCTGCAGCTGGAGGGGCTTCAGGGAGGCAGCGAGTTTGGGGAGCGCCGGCAGCCTGGGAAGCCACCAGCAGCTGCTGGAACACAGGAAGCCCTGACGGGAGAGACCCCACGAGGGAAAACCCACCCCGGGGAGGCTGGTCCCCCCGGCTCTCCCCAGCAGAGCGGCGGGGAGCAGCCTGACTCAGAGCAAGACGTGCGTGACCTGGGGATGACCCCATCACCCCAAACTGCTGAAAGTTCATTGCCGTTTCACCACCCTCAACAGTTTCACTCACCAACCCAGCATGAAAATTTCCCACCACATTTCGCAGCACAAAGAAGTTTTTACCTTTGTTGAGAAGGCCCCGAAATTCAAGTTCCCGGGGCCGGCAGGACACCGTGCAAGGAAGAGGAGCTTGATGCAGCTGGTCATCAGCAGCTAAGGTTTGCACTTTTGTTTGTTTGCATGGCTCGAGGGCTATTTTGGGGCTGGGAGGACCCCCTGGGTAGGAGCACCCTCGCTCCCATCCCTGGGAAGGGGCGGTGGGGCTCAGCTGTGGCAGGGAAGCATCTGGCCCCAGCATGCTCCCTCCTCCCATGCTGTCAGAAACCCGCTCACCCTCCCAAAACTGCACCCCACCCATCGCCTCAGGAGCCGAAACCCGCTCAGGTGCCTGCGGGGTCCTCAGCTGGGCTTAGAAAGGCATAGTAAACCCTGTTAGCAAGGTTTTCCTCTGGTCTTTTTTGGGAGGGGTAAATCCTGTTGTTGGAAACAGGTTAATGCATACGGATCCAAACCTGGGAAGGACGTGTGGGCAAGAAACAACCAGTTCATCCCCTCCGTGTATGTGTCAGTGCTTTTATTTACCAGAATTTCAGCTTCCGTTCGCATTGAGCTTGACACAAATCACAAAAAAACCCCAAACCCTTCTTACACATATAGTAAAAAATACATACATCTTTTACCATTTTTTCCCCTAAGGAAAAGGTAAAAAGATTTAAAAAATCCTAATAAACTTATATGAAACTAGAAGCCCATCTGCTCAGATATACCCTGTTAGCTAAAAAAGCAGTGCCAAACCTTGCAGAAAGCTCGTGTTTATCGACACGCTTTAACTATTAATGCACAACGCAAACACTTTGTTCCTCCAAGAAATAATTACCAGGAGGCAAAACAGGTTAAATGTGATTATTTAAAACAAAGCCTCCTGAGCACTACAACTTGCAGTTGAAGACTGGGAGGTGCAGGCTGTGGCTGGGCACGACAGGCGATGCCAGGTCTCCAGGAGGGGACGAGTGAGGGGGAACGGCCACGCAGTGCTCTGTGACATCGGGCACCATTACAGCACCAACACCAGCACGCCGAAAGCTCTGTAGAAGTTGTGGGGTGCATTACGGCACACCGCTTTTGGGAACCTCTGCCTCCACCAACCTGAAGTCTCAATCCAAATTTCATTAACGTTAGGTTTGACACTTAATTACTCTCTGTCTTACTGGCTGCAGGCTAAATATATTTTCTCGCCGTTAGCAAAGATATTAGCGCATAACTGGTGGTCTGTTGAACCATGGGTTGTTTTTTGCATTCTGGTTTGCTATGGCTTTGCACCATGTGGCAAATATCTCCAGGACAGACAACTCAGCGTCTCTGATGCCCTTGAATTTTTACTGTAAGGTGTGATTTGTCAATGCAGGGAACCGCACAAAATGCTAGTATCGAAACGGGAGTCGTAGCACATAAGTTGTACCCAATTTCAACTTACACCACACAGCTAAAAGATAGGAGAAAGATAGGTCTAATTTTGTAACGACTACTTTATGAACATGAACCATCAGCTTTCCTTTGCAAGAAGAACCACGCATGCAGCAAAACAGACTTACGTCTGCACAGGCACAGAGCAGCGTTTGCCTGCTGCATTAAACCGGTGTAGGGGCTAAAGGCTGTTCTCCTTTACAGCAGAGGGGACCTGGTGTAGGTGCAGGCAGGGGTCCCAAGTCCGGCCACCTCTGTAGCAGACCCCAGCTGGACAGCAAGCGAATGCTGAACTCCCTCCTGCTGCTTCCTATGGATGGGATGGGCGGTTCGTCCCGCTTCATCTGCCTCTGTTGCTGCCGTAGCTGGGCTTATCGCCTCCCTGCAAGGCTTGTTATTTCAGGCTGTGGTCAGAGCTGCAGATGGGCTGGGTATTTACAGCTGTCACAAAGATAGCTTTTATCCACTATCAGTTCTGCTTACAACAAGTACGGCTCCATTTTGCTGCCTGATGCCGAAGGTTTCTCTTCCTTTCAGCCAGCAAGGCCATGCTGGGTCCTGCACAGCAAGGACAGGGAGCGCGAGGAGCCCCCAGCCCTCCCCGCTCCTCTGAAACAGTCTTTGGGGTATCCGGATGGTTTCCAAAGAGTTGGGTGCTTCTTCAGAGGGGAAAGACGGGGGACTAACTTACAAGAGGACTTGGCAAGGTGGGGACATAGCAGAGGAGTTTAAGTGGGTGCTGAGGGTCAGGGAGCTTCTCACCTGCCGCTTGCCCAGCATGGCAAAGGACCAGTTGGAGCTGTGCTCCTGGCTGTTGCAGGCAGAGGAGCACTGTTCTTGCCACCCGCCGCTCTGCATCATCCTGCACAGTGCCATCCTGAACCGTTCCCCAGCAAAGACATAGAGGAAGGGGTTGAGGCAGCTGTGGAAAAAGGCGATGCTCTGGGTGACCTGTAGCCCGATGTCCAGCCGGTCAGCAGCCTGACAGCTGTACACCACCCTGGCATACATGTTGATAGTTTTGACCAGCAAAACAATATTGTATGGGAACTGAGAGAGGAGGAAAGCGGTGATGATCATGGTGATGATCTTCAGTGACTTCTGCTTTTGGGATCTTTTGGCTTGCAGGAGGGTGTTGATGATAAGGGCATAACAAATAACCATGACAAGGAGTGGGAGGAAGAATCCGATCGTGACTTTCAAGGCAAGGACAGTAACTCTGAAGATCATGCTGACGTTTGGTGGGTACGTAATTTTGCAAACTGTTACGTCGCCCATCTGCGTGCTTTGGCTGTACATGATTTCTGGGATGCACAGGCTCACGGCCATCAGCCAGACAGCCAAGCACATGAGTTTGCTGCGCTTGAGCCACCTTCGCTTAGAAGTTTTAGCTTTCATCGCCTGGACAATAGTGATGTACCTGTCAAAGCTGATGCAGGTTAGAAACAAGCTGCAGCCGTAGAAGTTTATCTTATACATACTGTTGACGACTTTGCACATGAAGTTCTTGAAGATCCAGCCATCAGAGGCAGCCTTGGCCCAGAACGGGAGGGTGAAGAGGAGGAGCAGGTCTGCAATGGCCAGGTGCAGCAGGTACTGATCCATCATGCTCCTCCTGAAGCGGTATTTGCAATAGACAAGCATGACCAAGGTGTTTCCCACGATGCCCACAGAGAAGATGAGCCAGAAAAACACTGGCAGGAAGGCTCGAGCAAACTGTCTGATCTGCCTCTTGTCGCACACGAAGTCTGTGTCGTTCAATGGGTTTCCATACACAGGCAGCACCGTGCTGTCATTCCTGTAGTAATCCAGGCTGGTCTTGCCAGGGTGGGTGACCTGCAACAGGACATCAGGTAAATTTGTCTTGAGAGGTGGCTCAGTAAAGCATAAATTTGCCCCTCTGCACCAGAGAGAAGATTGAAGATCCCCAATATATTCCATTTTAGATGGGAAAGTGCAAAGGCTGCCAGCAAAACACAGCGCATGTCAGACTGCTTGAAGTGTGTGGCACAGCAGAGACTTATAAAAATGACCCGTTGAATAACAAACTTTACAAAAGAGCAGTTCACCACCTCCAGCCAACTTCAATTACTATAAGGGCAGGTGGTGAGAGCATTCTCTCTGTCAGATCATTCAAAATGCTGTTGGCTTGGCAGCTTCAAATACATAACAAAATGCAAAATCCCCAACTTGGAAAGAGGTGGGGAAGAAGGCTTTGTGTTACTGCTACAGTGGGACGACACTGTCAGCTCAAGAGCGACAGAAAACTGATGGAGGCAAAGAGCGGGTGAAGAAAAACAGAGATTACACAGCAGCGTAGTTGTATACTCACAATGTTTGCAACTGCCATCTTCAGTCAGATCTTTACTCAGTCTTGAAGGAGGTTCTGTAACCTGGAGAGGAAAGATGGGGGGAAAACAACTGATTTGAAACATCTTTGAAGTAGAACTGTGACTCTTTCTTTTCTTATTTTTCTTCTTCTTCTTCTTTTAATAAAAACCACAGCCCCTTGAAATGAGTCTTTCTGGGAGATGAACAAACCGCACAGCAATTGATGTTGCTGGTTTGAATTATTTAGCTGTTTCCATTTCACAAATTTACCTTTAGCTTACATTAGGTCTTCAGCTTCTCTATGGCACTATGCTAAGTCCTTTGACATACTAGAGTCACTGCGATCTCATTCTTAATAAGATGTAGACTCCCCAGTATGCACATTAAAAAAGAAAGTAATCTGAAAGCACCATATCTTCCAAAAGATTCGTGAGAATAAATGAAAGGTGTCTCTTAAATTGTCTAGCAACTAGCAAGGAAAAGTACCTGCCTTTAATAGTAGTTTGCAGTGTTAAAAGATTTGCATCCTCTGCAGCGACTGATAATCTCTGCCTGCAACATCTCTTTCTTATCTGCGAGTTTAAGCATGATGCTCACTGCTGTTGGCCTGCAAAGCAGAGCATTATTCCCTGGTAAACAAGAAAATACTGGTTTTTTCCTGCTGCAGATTGCTTTTCAACTCAGTCAACCATCACAAAAGGTAGCCGAGCCTGGTGGGCTTGACGCGACTCGTGCACTCCTAAGTATTTTGCATGTTCTGCAGCAGCCTGCCTGTGCTAGTGCCTGGGGGTGAAGCTTAGGGACAATGTGAGGTGGGTCCCGTTGGCGCCACCGGGGACCTCCAGCTAGCACAGACCTTTCCTCCAGACATCGGTGCCTTCAAAAGCAGGTCACGCAACTGAGAGGTCACGTTGCAGAGCCAAACCTCTCACCGCAGCAGCAACTGGATGGAGCCGAACCTTCTCCAGAGGGAAACGGCCCACGTTCACGTGCTGGTTTCCCTCTGGTCGCTCGCTGCGCGCTGACTAAAAGCACCTTCCCCAGTATTATTTGGGGCATGAACTGATGCAGTGTGCAGTTCACCTCCCCAGCCTGCATTAGGGTCAGCTGAGTTAGCGAGTTTGTCAGCAAAACCAGTTTACTGTAAGCAGCTACTTTTAGGGATGGCAAATGTGTTTGCAGCCACATCTCTGTGTTTGTGGAACCCTCTGGCCTGAATTGCCTTTGATCCCTTCGCTTGCTCTCAGTGCTGAAGTGAATGCTTGCAGCAAATATTTGCAGGGCTTTGGAATCTGTCCAAAAAAAATTAATGCAGTTGCTTTCATCCATTTAGAAATTATTGTATTCAGAAAGCATGGATTAGGGGCTAATCCTTTTTTATCTTCATGAAGCAACTTTAATGAATATGAATTATTTAGGAGCAAGTTTGGCAGCATGAGATCTTTGCAATAAAAGAATGTGAGTCTAGGCACAGAGTGTTTGCTTAAAAATAGAAGAAATAAAACCAGACATAAATATGTGCTCTTAGTTTTTAAATTTTCTGTCAAGATACAGAACTACACGCAGAATTGTGCTCGTCTCTGGAGTTTCAAGTAAACATATAAATTTAGTGCCTGGCTTTTAATGATGCCACCTGTACCCTGTGCATAGTAGTTGAATTTCTGATGCACAAAACTCAAAATATATTTTTATTTGACTTCTTTTCAAAGCAGACAACCAAGGAAAGGGCCAAAGCGTACTAATGGTACAGCGTGGCGCAGAATTTACTCCAGAAAAAAAATGCAAGCAGATGGAAAGAAAACACCTGTATAATACCTATAAATCAGATATACCACATGTAAATACTAAGATGTAGAAATTAAGACCAGTCATAGCCATGCATATACAAATGATGTTGGACAGGTCTGCTGAAACAAGTGGAAAATGCTTCTCTCCCAGCCTTATAGAATCATAGAATTGTTTAGGTTGGAAAAGACCTTGAAGATCATCCAGTCCAACCATTAACCTAACACTACCTTCAATACAGCAAGTCTCTGGCAGCAACAGCCCCACAAGGGGTTTTCCTTGTCCCCATCCCTGTCCCCATCCTCATCCCCATCTGGCTCCAGCCCAGGCAGCAGTGTGGGAAGGTCGACCGACCCCGTTGGGTGCAGGCAGCAAGGGTGCACCCACCCCGGCCCCCTCGTCACCAGCAGGCTCTTGCACATCATGGTAAATACAGGGACAGCCGAAAGCCGAGCTGGATTCCTGCCATCCAAGGAACAAAGCCTCATGATCTCACCCGCCATGCAGAGGAGGCAGCGTGTTAACCACAGCAGATACAATGAGCTTTCAGATGTTCTAGCCAGCACCTGATTTTTTGCTACGGTGAACTTCACAGCACACTAAAAGTTGACAAGCAACATATCATGCTCTGAGATGAGGAGGGCCTGCTTATTAATTGAAATTAATTTGATCCCTTTTTGCTTATTTTTGGGAGGAAAACACGGTTTCAGGAACCGCTGCGCTAAGCGTGTGACTCATCCTTTCCAGCTAAAAGGCAACGTCAGTCCTGCCGCACTCCACCTGCTGCGACTCCTCGCTTCAGAAATTCCTCATGGAGTTGAAATCTCGAAGCAGCAGAGCCCTGTCCCATCACAACAGCGCAAAATTTGGCTGTACAGGCTGAGACCTGCCACGCACAGACAGAGGTGACTGTGGCCAGCAGCAGGCACTCAGCGAGCTACTGATTTCTCCCCGGTACCTGTTTCCAAAATGTCATTGCAGCATCTGCTGAAGGGTGCAGAGCTGTGCATGCTCAGGGGGCCTTTTTGTGTTATTTTCTTTCAGCCATCAGACCTACCTTAAATTGCAGTTGAAAAGATCATTGTAATTGGGTGAGTTCAACGGCAAATGAGCTTTTCTTTTTTTTTTTTTTTTAAAAAAAACCAGGCAATTTCTCATTTGTTTTCCTTTCCATGGAGGCTGCATGTGGGAAAGACAGACATGAATAGCAGTAGTGGAGGAGGGGACTCACCTGGACAGTCGCTGCGGGGAGGGGTGAGCCCGGCCGTCGCACCCAGCAGTCGCGCTGCTGCACGCGGTGTTTGCTCTTTGCACCCACGATTGAGCTTTGAGCTTTTTGTAGGCTGAGGTGGGTGTGTGCTCCCTGGACCCCAGCGTAGTTAGACCTGTCACAGGCTGTTTGTGGTTTGCATGGTTTAGGTGGCTCAAACACAGATGGCAATCTTCTCTTTTTTTTCTTTTTTCTTTGTCTTTTTTCCTGGTAAGGTCTCTCGATAGCAAAGGGAAAACCTCTCATACCATTCCGCTCACGTGCATCATCTAGCACAGGGCAAATCAGAGGCTGCTCCCAGCATGACCATGTCCTGCTGGAAAATACTTTCACGGGAAAAAAAAATCCCCGAACAAGAACTGGGTTCCTCTGGGGAGCCACCAGTGTCCCCTGGGGAGGCTGGGACAGGAATGAGGAGCCAGGTCTAGTCCTGCACGCTCCAAGCTGGCCCACAGGCACAGCTCCCCACGGCTGCCCACCAAGGCTGCAAGCAAGCAGGGGCCAGGATCGCAGGGTCTGTGTGATGCCCCACAACACCAGGTTCTTTGCAAGCAAAAGCAAAATGGAGCAAAATGAAATTAAGCCACCTTCAAGAGGAACAGCCAGGCTATTCCTGCCACAGGAACTGGGGAGACCCAGGGCAGGGCTGCAGGCAGTCACATAAAGTCCTTGCTGGTGGCACATCTTATGTGATAACCATCCAGAAGAGTATGGCAGGAAAGATTTTGAAGAGGAAAGCAATGAGAAGTGGTTAATAAATATATGAACTCGCACATCTTATGTCTTCTTCCTGGCAAGCTGGCATGCAAATTACAGTGATTTAAATTCCCCTCTCTGCAGGAAGTCCGAGCACCATGGCGTTTCGCTTAAATGCTGGATGGTGTTCAGCTGTGACCGATGCTTGTTTGACTCACACTTCAAGAAAATTTCCAAATCGCAGTTCAGGCTTAGTTCCAATTATGGAGAAAACAATGATTCGGGCCAGGTTTTGAATTGGTCTCAGCTGTCACTTGGCACCACACTCCAGCGTCGGCAGTGTTGCATTCCCTTCCAAAGGGAAGGAGCCCAGGGTGCTCCACACTCAACTGCAAAATCCCTGACAAGGTGTCTGCATAACTTAAATAATTAGTTGTCATCCTGAAACTCTTCCTGAAACAGGCGTAGGTTTGTACACGACGATACTTCTATAGGGCGCGTGGCCTCTCTCGCCTCCTGGACCCCCAGGCAGGAAAACAGAGGTTGTGGAGAAGGTCTCTCAGCTAAGCCCCAGGGCACCTGCTACAGGAAACATAGGTGTGAAAGCATGGGGTAGCCTCTGAGCTCAGGCACGAGTTACTCTGGGCTGGCAAATGGCTGCCTGCCAGATGAGCCATGGTAATTACCCCTAATTCAAGCTTGTTTGGCCCTTGGTGTAATGCAAGGTGATTCAGCATTGGGAGAGCTACATTAACTGCAGTAGGGTAAAGACATGCCTGTAGGCAAAGCCTCTGATGCAAAGGGTCTTCACATCCTTTGGTGTCTCCACAAATCTCAGCCCTCACGTTCTGGATTTAAG